AACGGCGATTTAGGCTTTGGTTGAGTGGACGTTGCAATCGGCATTCGCGTGGTTCCCCCGACAAGATTTACAAACGTGTGCTCGTTTGCAGTCTTTTCCTTGTTGGCACGCGCGACGCTGGTAGAGGTTGCATCCTTCGGTGCCATTATGGGTCCACTTATCGTATTTCCACTGCTCATTTGTCTTCTCTTTCTTAGTTTCCTYCACCGCCGTCCTCGCACGAAAGGGACAATCTCGTACGAGATGGAATAGTGATTTGCAACGCGCGCACGAGGAACTCTCTTTACGTACGGCTGACGAGTCGAGAATTGTGGCGTACAACGTGGTGTCGATCATGTCCAGGCGGCCTTGTATCGTTGAGAGACCTCGCCGAAATTGTACGTCAAACTCGTAGACTGCAGTCCAACTGAACTTTCGATTTGCTTTCTGGATTATTAGGCGATACGAAGACATATCGGCGTATCGTGCTGGTTTGTCGATTACTTCTTTTTTCTCGTACACTGTCCAGGCTTCGAGCCACTGGTCGAATGATTCGATTGTTGGTTTTCGTTTGTTATCCTTCGCACTGCTACTACTTGAACTATCGTCGGTTGACTGAGGGCTAGTTAGGAGCGTAAGTAGGTCTACGTAGGGTAAGAGATAAAGGTTGTTACCTTGGTTTGCCGGTTTTGTTGCGGGTCCGCCCCCAACGCTAGATGACTCGACCTTCTCCCGAAGACTTTTCTGGTCTAGTTGAAGGGTTTCAATTTGACCCGCTAGAGACTGTAGTGCTAGGAGGATTTGCCCGTTATTATCCTCCGTTGTTTTTGGTCCTCTCTTTAAGGCTTCTGGATGATGCACGGGCTCTTCGTCGTCTGTTGAGTCTTGCGATGTTGGTCCTGTACAAAATTTGGACATTGTGCCAAATGTGTGATCCGTTGAGTTGACGTTGCACCCAGCACAATTGCGTGGTCGATTGGATTTTCGTCTGGACGACATTGTAGGAAAAAACGAAAAAGCGAGCGAAGATGATTACACGTGTTTATCGAGAAAGCTATTAATCGACAATGTAATACGATATAGCCGTAGGTTACAGAACACCGCTCCACTCCCTATTAAACTATGTAAACTATATTTACATTACAAAGATATCAGCAGGCCAAAACCTGTGCCAGCCCTGTCTGCGTAATCCAAACCAGCTGATCTGAGAAAAAATGTTAGCCAATCAGAATCGAGAAAATTTGCAAAACTGAATTGTCACCCTTGGTAGCCTGGCGACTTAAATTAGATTTGTCTGTGTAAACACTGGAGCAATTTTTACAGGAAAATTCACCGGCTCGAGACATTTTGTTTGTTTACCGTGAGTGAAGATGGTATTCTCAAGTTTTCCCTTCGCTTTCGTTTCACGTAATCATTTTGAATACAAAAAAGTCAGTGACCTCGATACAGTCAAGACAAAAACACAGATAATATGAATAGATTTTTATTTTCAACACTTACAAATGTTTTATATTTTCGCCGGCTCGCGACGCGTCCGTCCACTGCTCACGCAAATATTTATGCATTTAATTAAATTTGGTAGACCGCTGGTCAGTCCTGTGGGCCCAAGGACAACTCAGTTTTGCAAATACGTCATCATGACGTCACATTTCAGATCAGCTGGATATTGTTTTAGGTATAATTTTCTTTAGTAACACCATTAATTATC